AATACATCAACAAGCATTTGGTAAGAGGATTGACTCTGGTCTACATTAAAATTACTGAGCTGTGGCTCAAGCAGCTAAGGCGCCAGCCACATACACCTAAGGTGGCGGGTTCGAATCCCCAGCCCGGCCGGTCAAACAATGATGGCTGCAACCGAAAAATGGCCAGGTGTTGTGGGGGGCGCCTGTGGTCCCAGCTACTTGGGAGGCTGAGGCAGGAGACTCGCTTGAGCCCAGGAGTTGGAGGTTGCTGTGAGCTGTGATGCCATGGCACTTTACTTAGGGGGATAGCTTGAGCCTCCATTTAAACAACAACAAAAAAAATTACTGAGCTGTTTAAAGCTTCAGCCAATTTCTCTACCTCTAGGTTCAATCAGTGATCTTTTAGTGGACCTCCTCCCATCAAATTCCATCACTTGTTTTATTTTCATCATAGCAGCTATTCATATGTGGTTATTTGCTTACTTATGGTTTATCATCTGTCTCTCTAGTTCATTCCACACAGGCAAAGACCTTATCAGTATTGACACTGATCTATTTCTACCTTTAAACCAGTGTCTTTCTCACAATAAGGACCAAGTATAATAATATACTCTGGTTTCTCTTCAGATCATATAAATCTTTCACCTTTTACTAAAGATTTTTTTGGAGAGGAATATTTAATTCTGAGTTGTAACCCAGTTTTTTTGAGGCTCTCTGCAGGCCTAGTTTAAAAAAAAATAGAAATAAAATAAGAGGACTTATACTAAATAACTGTTGAAAGAGTAAATGAATGAATGAACACAAACTGATGTGATGTTGGATGACCAGCTGCACTGGGAGTTAACCTATCTTGAGAGAGCCACCACTCCTACATATGACTGGGTAACAGGTGTGGGTGGAAGTAGAATGGGGCCACAGCTGATTGTTAGCTTGTTCAGGTGTTTAAATACTATTGCATGTTAGAGAGAAAGACCAACAAACAGCTTTGTAGCAGAGTCTCAAATGATGGGGTTTAGAACAGTGGTCCTCAGCCTGTGGGTTGAGACCCACAGGAACTGAATTAAAGGGCCATGACATTAGGAAGGTTGAGAACCACTTGTTTAGAAACTCTTGGCCACATATCCAAAGGTGACCTTCAAATTACACAGGACTTCTTTGGTTGCAAGTGACAGAAACCCAGCTAATTAAAGCAAAACAGAAAGGAAGGTTGGTTATTTATATAAGTAGGAAGTCCAAGAGCATGGGGGATCAAGGTACTGACTTCAGGCATAGCTAGATCTAGGGGCTCAAATGTTATCAACAAGCTTATAAATTAGAACCTAAGGTCTTGGATAGTTTTGGATATCTATGTTTATTTTCCTATCTTCCTCTGCCATGTGTCCTCTGAAGGCTCAATTCTTAGACAGGTGCTTTCTGTGTAATGACAGAAAGTCCCACCAGTTCAAAGTAGATGTGCTTCACAGTGCCTTCCCATCACTCTACCAGCACCCACATCAGTCCTAGAGCTAGGACTTGGACCATCTAGGCTCAGTCATATAGTTCAGGAAGGACATCATGTGTAAGGATCCTAAAGCAAGAAAGACATGGGTATTTGGGTACCTGAAATGGACCAACATGGCTAGATGCAGTTAGTGATCTAGGGGTGGTCCACAGCCTCAAAAGCCACAATAAGGATTTCAGTCTTTATCTTGAGAGAAATGAGAGCCCACTGAAGAGTTTCAAGTAGAGGAATGATGTACTCAAATTTGCTTTTTAAAAATATCAGTGTGGGTGTGAGAGCCAAACTAGCTCCATTTTGTTGTTTACAGCACAAGCCACAGTACAAGCCCCATTCCTAGCTGTTTACCGCATAGCCCTTCCGCCCCAACCTCTGCCACTCCCTGCTGCCTTCCCCCACCCCAGGTTGCACAGCCACTGCACTGTAAACTGAGTCACCTTAGGCAAATAGTTGCTATAATAAACAATAAGTTTCTATTACCTTGAAATACAGGTAACCAGGTTGCACCAACTCTAGCCCCCGGTTAAGGGACCCTCCACCCCTCACCAGTACCAATCCAAATTCACCTTTACTAGTGAAATCATCAGCTACCAATGCAAATCCTCCTTTACTTCCCCCTTTACTAATGAAATCACCAACCACCAATGAAAAGTGTACTCGTATCCGACCCTACCCCTCTTGCTTTCTGTACCCATAAAAACTTCCTCCACCCCGGGTTCGGGGCTCATCCTAGGCTTGCATGCCAGGAGAGTCCAGGCTTCCTGGGGCCTGAAATAAACTCATCTCATGCTTTTTACATCGGAGTGTGTCTTGGACTGTCTGTGGGGGTCTTTTGGGAGAATTTTGGGCACAACATGGGGACAGGACTGAAGGGACAGAGTCAAGACAAGGGAATCAGTAGAAGTTGTGACAGTCACCTAGGCGAGAACTGCTGGTCTGGATTGAGTTGGTGACAGTGGAGTTTAAGTTGGCAGTTTAACTACTATCTAAAAGTTAAATCCACAAACTTACAAACTTGGTCAGGCGGAGAGACAGGTCAAGAATAACTCATAGGTTTGACATGGTGGTGATGTGCCTTTTGGGAGGACAGGGAAGCCTGATGTGGTGAGCTGAGTAATGACTGTCTAAGGATAGCAAGCCTTAATTCCTGAGCCTGGAAATGTTCCCTTTTATGGAAAAGGTTTTGTAGATGTGATTTAATGAAGACTTTATTATTATTGTTTATTACATCATAACTTGTACATTGATGTATTTATGGGATTCAGTGTACTGCTTCGATATACAATGTGAAATGCTTACATTGAACTAAGTAAGACATCCATCACAATAAATGAAGGCTTCTGAAACAAAGAGAATATCCTTGATTATCTGGGTGGGCCCTCATTGGCATCATAAGTGTCCTTATGAGAGAGAGGCAGAGGGAGATTAGAACAACACATAGGGTAGAGGAGAAGGCTGTGTGAAAATGGAGGCAGAGATTAGAATGATCCAGCCATAGCCAAAGAATACCAAGGAATGCCAGCATCCACCTGAAGCTGGAAGAAGAAAGGAACAGTTTCCTCAACAGTCTGCAGAGGAATTGTGGCCCTGCCATCATCTTGACTTTGGACTTTGGGCCTCCAAAACTGTGAGAGAATACATTTCTGTTGTTTTAATCCACTAAGTTTGTGGTAATTTGTTATGGTGGCCAAAGGAAACCTTAGCCACAAATTAAATTTGGGGAATAGGGAATTAGGAAGATCATGCTGTGTCTTTGACATTCAAACAGAGCTGTCAGGCTGTAGTGGATCTACAGGGGCAGGTCTACTGGAAAGTAAACTGCTGAGTCATCCCTGTAGAAGTGACAGCTGAAGCCATCATGTGGATGTGTAGACAACAGCAAGAGACCATGAGGCCTTCATACTTTTGAGTGGCCAAGAAAAGAGGATGAGGCTCGGCGCCTGTGGCTCAAGCGGCTAAGGCGCCAGCCACATACACCTAAGGTGGCGGGTTCGAATCCCCAGCCCGGGCCCGCCAAACAACAATGACAGCTGCAACCAAAAAATGGCCAGGCGTTGTGGTGGGCGCCTGTGGTCCCAGCTACTTGGGAGGCGGAGGCAGGAGACTCGCTTGAGCCCAGGAGTTGGAGGCTGCTGTGAACGTGATGCCATGGCACTCTACCCAGGGGGATAGCTTGAGGCTCCGTCTCAAAAAAAAAAAAAAAGAAAAAGAAAAGAGGATGAATCCTTGAAGGAGACTTGAAAAGGCAGGAGGAGATTCAGGGATGTGTGAAAGCCAAGGACTGCTGTTGGTCCCTGCCCAGGCACCCAAACAGAAGGGGGTATTTATTAAATGGGTGCAGGAGTATGCCATTGTGTTTTCAGGGTCCCCTGAAGTGCTGGGACTACAGGCATAAGCCACTTGCCTGGCTAGAGCTGCTTTTAAAGACTCACACATAAGGGGGCCCACCATCTCATCTCACCATTATCTGAGACAAAGCTTCTATTCACTTGACTCTGGAACTGTGAAGAGCTGCTGGGTTCTACAGTGCCTGGTAAACAGTTCTCTCCTCACTAAGAGCTGCTTGGTCTGTGGGTGGCCGTTCCAAGGTGAACAGACAACATTCTGTTTGGAAGGCTGCTACTCTAAAGAGTCAAGAAAAAGTTTTCCTTTTGAGCTACTCACTGCTTAGAGAAATTAGAAGACCAAATCATGGTATTCCAAAGACTAGAGATGATTCAACAAAACCTGCAAACACCTCTCACTTGAAATCCCACCGAGCCCCATCTGTCTTCTGCTGCTAAAGTTATGCTCTATCGAGCACCCTCCCCCTCCCCCAAAGTCTCAGGGACCACTGCAGAGGAGGAGGGAGTATGAGATTGTTCAGAGCTGAATTGCAGAGTAGAGAATGGAGGCTAAAGTAACCCTATCTTGGATGCTGACCCACCATCTTAACATTAACCCCTGTTCAGGAATGCCTCTAAGTTTTCTTTATCTGTTACCATCAGACCTGCCCTTAGGCAGATCCACATCCTATCTAGCCTCCCCGCTTCAGTCCTGTGGTACGTAAGCCTTGGGTCTGGGGGCAATGGTGGGCATCCCCCTTCTCACCTCACTACCTCCCAAGACATATAGCTTCTGTTCATTAGGTCCCTATTACATGGTCCCTTCATCAGGACCTTCTTCATCAGGTCCCTTCCCCTGAGGAAGAAATAAAAAGACACACACAAATACAACTAATATTTGCAGATCATTTAAAGAGAAAAATAATCTCATTTATTATCCTTAATAGCTGTTGAAAGTCAACAATGATAAAGGAAAAGTATATAGGTTTCATTCTCAGTTGGAAGAGTTAGCACAAAGAACATGTTTGGAGGGACTAGGGGAGCTTAGTGTGTCCTGTGGATGCCGAGGCCTGGCCCCGTTCACTCAGGTGGAAGTTAACTGAGTGGAAAGCGTTTCTGGTCCTTCTCGCTCCCATTTTATGTTCTAGAACACACAGGCGTGAACACCTTTCCAAACACTGAAGACATTACCTTGGGACCCAGGGGAATCCCTCGGGTCCTCAGTATCTCTCTGGGATGGGCCCATGAGCAGGCAGGACTATGGCAGCCCTACAGCTTGGTGGGCTGCAGGGGGCCATGGGCGTCAGGCCTGCCAGGCAGGGGTAACACCATGGGCAGGGAATTGCTGCCCTTTTCGTGCCAGCACACATCCAGGATGGGGTAGAGCTTGCCCTGGAAGTCAGCCTGGAATGTGTAGAGCGGCCTCAGGTTATCAGGATGGTCAGCATCGAAGAAGGTAAGTTCTCCCTGCTCATAGTGCAAGTAGACCCCAATGCGGTGGGGGTGGCCTGTCACTGGCAAGGGCACCCGTGGGCAGCCAAAGGCCTCGTACACCCTGCCCTCCTTCAGGCCGATCAGCCACACTCCATGCTCCGGAGACTTGTTCAGCTTGCCCTTGCGGTTGGCCGTGCCTTTGATGACCCCCAGGCGCCAGTCACTCTTGCTGCCCACCACCACCTCCCAATAGTGGCGGCCACAGGAAAAGCCCTTGCTGGCCAGGACACAAGTGCTGTAGTCAAAGCACTTGGACTGGCTGGCGCGCCGCTGGGCCAGAAGCCCACACTGCACCACGGTGTCACCCTTGGAGAGCTCCAGGAGGGGGTGGGCGGTGGCAGGGTCCAGCTTGAGAGACTCTGGGGCTGGGAAAGAGATCAGGAAAGTATATAGCTTCCAGAAGTGGGGAATATGCACCAGCCTTCTGATTCCAAGATCATTCATAAGCACCAAAGGAGTCAAGAAAACCTCCATCTTTCTTTGCTGCACCCCTTCTTTTTTTTTTTTTTTTTTTCTTGAGACGGAGCCTCAAGTTATCCCCCTGGGTAGAGTGCCATGGCATCACACTCACAGCAACCTCCAACTCCTGGGCTCAAGCGAGTCTCCTGCCTCAGCCTCCCAAGTAGCTGGGACCACAGGCGCCCGCCACAACGCCTGGCCGTTTTTTGGTTGCAGCCATCATTGTTGTTTGGCGGGCCGGGCTGGGGATTCGAACCCGCCACCTTAGGTGTATGTGGCTGGCGCCTTAGCCGCTTGAGCCACAGGCGCCGAGCCCCTGGGTTTTTTTTTAAACAAGTAAATCTCTCATTGACAGCAACTAAATGGTATTTGTAGCATTTTTGTCATACAAGAGATTCTATCCTTTCACTGTACTTTTCTGAGTTATCCTACATGCAAGTACATGTGTTTAATGTTATCTGTCTTTTATGATGTTCCTGTAAGTTTAAAATACATTAAGCTATTTTTTAAAAAGAGTTTTTTTCTATAAAATTTGGATTTGGTTAGAAAGCCACTCTTACAGACTAGGAAGGCTACAAATTTCCTCCAGACCAATGCAGTCAATGAACTGTTGCTCACCCTGCGCAGCAGCCAATGGGAATAAGAACTGGTTGGGGCCTCACCTGGCAAAACTTTCTGGAAGAGCCTCTTCCACACGGTCAGCTTGATGTCAGCCTGGTGGAGGCCTGGCTTGAAGGAAATGGGACTGAATGCTCCTTCCAAGGGCCGGGGCTGCTGGAGCTCTGCTCTGGAAGGTGATAGTTCACAAAGCAGGGGAGCTATGCACCCTGTGGCCAGGTGGGGCCTCCACCCCCATAGGAATCCACCCAGCCAATCCCACAGGTTGGGGCTGTGCACTCACAATACCCATCACTGCCTCCCCTGCACACTCCTCCAGAGAGGACCTGCCTCCACCCTAGAAGGGGAAACACTATAGCAGTGGTTCTCAGAGTGTAGATCTGGGGACCAGCAGCCTCACCACCACCTAGTGACTAGCTAGAAATACAGGTTCTTAGGTCCCACCACCAACCTGCCAATCAGAAACTGATGACCGAGGCCAACTAGTGTCCTTAAATCAGCCCTGCAGGTGGTTTCAATGCGGAGGATTGAGAACAGCTTCTCTGTCTAAAATGACACTGACCACAACCACAGCTGTACTAGATGCCTGCTCTCCATACATTTAAATGGATGCCTCCTAACCACACTGTCCTTAAGACTGAAAGAAATTTGAGGAAACAAGGAGACTTCTGTGAACAGGATCTGAGGAAGGCTCGGGAGCTGCAGGAATTGTTCATTTGCTGGGACTAGAACACTGATGCACTCCCATCCCACAATCTGCAGAGCATTTTCAAGGCCCCTCGTTATGACTGCTTCCCACCTCATCTCCCATTCCTCCCAGAATCCTGCTGCACATGCCAGCAACACTGAACTTCTCATGATAGCCCAGAGTCCACATACCCTACCCTTTCATGTGACTGTCCCTGCTCTGCTTCCCTGGCAAACTTGGGTCTCTTCTCTGCTCAGCCAACAGCCTATGCACCTTTACTGTCCCCTGACATCACCTCCTCCTCTAGTATCTCTGTAGTTCACCTGTACCTCCCCATCAGTCTGCAAGACCCCTGAAGGCAGGGATGTGATTTTCCTTTGTTTTCTCTGGGCTTAGTTACAGCCAGATGTGGGCAGCTGCTCTGGAGGCGCTGGTTAAAATGAATGGAGGAACCGTGGGGATGAACTGCCTGCGCCCAAAGCCAGCCGACACTGGCTGAGCTCTCCCCATGCAACTCCCTTCAAGGTTATTACCTGGAGGTCATGGAGTAGAACTTCTGGAAGACAAGAGAGAGGAGAGTTAAGGATAGAGGGAAACTGTGGAACCTGGAGGCTATTAGGAAGGGGAAGGCTCTGGGAGCCTTGGGAGACAGTCCCTTGTCCCCTCACCTGGATGAACTCGTGGTGACTCTCATTACTGAACTGTTCCAGTACACACTCAGCCTGTGCCAGCCGCTCCTGAGTGCTCTGGGCCTGCTCCAGCTGCATGTCCAGGGAGGCCACCAGTCCACGAGTGTGACCCTCTATTCCTTCCAGGCAGCGAGCCTTCTCCTCATCCACCAGGTGGTGCAACTCCTGGAACTCACGGCGGATCACCCAGCTGAAGACATCAGACTCGTTCTGGGGCAGGGAAGGCTGGTCAGGGGGGACTCTGGCTGGCACCTAAGTCCCCAGGAAGGCCACATAGGCCAACACCTCATAGGGAGTTGACACTGTGCTTGGGAAGCCCTAGAAGTGGCCAGGGGATAGGGTGGCCAGTGTCAGCAGAGAGGCTGGACCCCCAGCTCCTATTTTGAACAGAGTGGTTCATGGTTTTGCATTTTTAAATATTAAATGTGCACATAAGATTTGTCTTTATCATAGCGTTCCACAAATGAAAGAAAGGCCTTAGGAGAGCAGGCTCTAGAGTGAGACAGCCTGGAATTCTCTGGGGAACCCCAAGTTCTGCCTCTGTTAGGGGTAAGCTACTTCCTTCTCCTAGCTGGTGTGCCACACCTCCCAGCCCCCACATGCCTCTCATTTAGGGAGATCACACAGTGCTGGGGCATCTGCCTTTCCATTCCCAGTCACTGGGAGGGCACCACACAAACTGTCAAGGTCAGGCAGACGGTGCGGGGGGGGGGGCAGAGGAGAAGCTGTGACCATGCTTTGAGCTGTTTACTCTGGGACTCAAGTTCTGGGTTATCTCAGTCCCAAGGACATGGAGGACAAAAGCCAACTTGGAGCCAGTTCTGACAACTGGATTGAATTCCAATAGGATTTGCACTTGCCCCACCCCACCCTGGAATGCTTTGAATTCTGGCTTTATATGGAAAGCATGGTTTTCTGTAAAGGACCAATTAGAACTGGACTCTGCTGGAAGGTGAAAGTGGCCATCCCCTTGGGCAGAGAGGGAACAGGCACTTACAACAATCCGAGTCCTGTTGTTCACCAGTTTGGCGATATGCTCATCCACCTTCTTCTGCTCCTGCTTGAGGTCAGAGATGAGGGCTGCAAGCTCCTCCTGGAGGCAATAGGCCATGGCTCTGTAAGCAACTGGCCCCTCCACCCTCTCAGCAACTTGGGGCCACTTTCTTGGGAGCATCCCAGTGGCCACAAGCACTCCCAGGAGAACTACGGATGAGAGCCACTCAGGTGCCTTTGACTCCAAAACTCTCTGGTCACCAGCAGATCCGGAGTCAGTAGGCATTTGATGAAGAGTCATACAAAAAGCCTGGCCCAAAGTGAGGCTAATTCTGGGATCAGTGGTACTTAGAGTGGGCCAGGTTGAGCCTGGTGATCCCCCACCCCCTGAACCTGAATCCATCCCTAGCAGACTTGGACACAGCCAGATTTGTGATCTCCCCAAGCTGACATAAACACACTTCTTCTCAGCTGCCCTAGCCCCAAAACTGACCTTGCCTTGGGGGAACCAACCAGGGCCCTTTGGACCACCATCTTAGCTCTGCTACTAGACCAGAACCCTGCCAGTTTGTGCCCATGGAGTGTACAGAGTCTTTGGCTTAGATTGTGCCCAAACAAGAGAGAGCAGCAAGAGCCTTTTAGGAAGGGAGTTGAGTGAAGAATAAAGGAAGTGTGGAGATAAATGGACACACAGGCCTTGCAATGAGGCATCAAAACATCTCACAGTGGCCCAAGAAGGTCAGAGCAACCCTCCTGAGGCAGACAGATGGAACTTGTTTCATCCCACCAACTGGACAACAATGGCTGGGTGTGGTGGTTCATGCCTGTAATCCCAGCACTCTGGGAGGCTGAGGCAGGAGGATTGCTGGAGGCCAGGAGTTTGAGACCAACCTGGACAACATGGCAAGACCCCATCTCTTAAAAACACTAGGCCACAGGTTCAGCACCTGTGGCTCAAGCGGCTAAGGTGTCAGCCACATACACCATAGCTGGCAGGTTCGAATCCAGCCTGGGCCAAACAATGATAACTGCAGCCAAAAAATAGCCAGGCATTGTGGCAGGCGCCTGTAGTCCCAGCTACTTGGGAGGTTAAGGCAAGAGAATTGCTTAAGCCCAGGAGTTGGAGGTTGCTGTGAGCTGTGATGCCATAGCACTCTACCCAGGGTGATAGCTTGAGGCTCTGTCTCAAAAAAAGGGGGGGGGGCCCACAGTGAGAGAAACTGAATTATGCTAATTGATCCATCCATTATCTTAAGATTTCTATAAAAGAAAGAAACAGGAACAAAAGGAGACAGATAAAAGAATGCAATTTAATTGCCCAAAAAAATCTTGGAATCCAAGATAAAAACCCAAATCCAAAATGAGAACCCAAGGTGGAGCCCAACTCCTGGCCAGAACAGATGGACAAGCTCCCAGCCTGTTTCTCACCTGGGCAGTACTTCTGCTAATAAAATATAGACTTCATTTCCTCACCCTGCAACTGGCTTCCTCCTCCCACATTCCCCTAACCTGCTCTTGCCAAGATAATCAGTTCTTACTACTACACCTACCACACTCTCTTTAGTCCTCAGAGACATTTCACATAAGCAATCTCATTCTTTTTTTTTTTTTTTGAGACAGAGTCTCACTATGTCACCCTCTGTAGAGTGCTGTTAGTTCACAGCTCACAGCAACCTCAAACACTTGGGCTTAAGCAATTCTTTTGCCTCAGCCTTCCAAGTAGCTGGGACTATAGGTGCCTGCCACAGTGCTCGGCTATTTTTTGGTTGTAGTTGTCATTGTTGTTTGGCAGCCCCGGGCTGGGTTTGAACCTGCCAGCTCTGGTGTATGTGGCTGGCGCCCTAGCTACTGAGCTACAGGCGCTGAGTCAGTGATCTCTTTCTTAAATGCTCTGTCCCTCTGACTACCAGGAGGCCACAAAGCTAGTGTTTCTGCTCCCTCTGTCCATTCTTTCTGTCCCCTTGTGAGATTCTCTCCTGCTCTACCCAAATCATAATCCTAGTGCTCCTTGGGATCATCACTGTCTTTCCTTGTCATTCTGCACCTCTCCTGGGTTGGTCTTCTCCACTATGGTGGCTTCTGTAAGTCACTGAATGTCTTTGTCCTGAGCCCCAGTGCTCTCCCACTTTCTAGGCCCTTGCCCATGCTGGACTCTGCCCACACTGGCTCCTCCCGTGTGCAAGGGGAACTTACAGACTTGGGTGTCAAGTTTGCTTCCTCCCTCTCCTCCTTCCCACATGAAATTAGCTCTGCCCCAGGCCTCCTTCCTGGTTCCCATGTGCTCAGTTCCTGGCCCCCTCATCTCCTGCTTTGTCCTTCAGCTTCATTCTCCAAGCTACTCTACACAAGACAGATCTGACCACATCACCACCCTGTCCAACCTACCCTACTCCTGTCCTCTGAATAAGCTTCACATCCCCTCTGTGTCACATAGGCCCAAGTTTCCCCCACCCTGCTCTCCCTCCAGCTTTGTAGAATGATTTCTGTGGTCCCCAGCATGCCATGCTGACTGCCTCCTGGTCTTCTGTACATGCTGTCTTTATCCCTGGATGCTTTTCCTCCTCAGCTTTTCCTGTCAAGTCCTCCTAGTTGTGCAGGTCTCAGCTTAGCAGTCCATTTCCTCCAGGAAGCCATCCCTGATCACCTGTGACCACAGGCCCCATGTTCTTGGTGATCTCACCATTGCCTGTATATAACCTTAACAGCAGCACCTGACACACAGATCTCTCCATCAGATCCCACCCCGGCAGGGCAAGCCTCTTCTCCACTGCTGTCCCACAGGGACCGGGAAATATATGAGGGTAGAAGGGTTGGCCGGACAACCTGGCCAGCCCTGTGTGCCTTTCCTACTAGTCTCCCAGGGCTGAAGGAACAGCCTACTTGTCTGCCCAGAGCAGTACAGTGGGCCAGGAAACAGCCCAGAATGGCACGTAGTGGGCACCTCTGCCTTGCTCTTCCTTGTTGCCTCTTCCCCACATTCACTTTCCACTGCTCCATCACCACGTCAAGAACCCTTCTTCCTATAACAAGAATCCTTCCTGCCTTCCTTGACAATAGAAAGAAAACTGGCCTTGGTTTAGTGCTAACTCTGCTGTAGGCATGCTGTGTGACCTTGGAAAAGACTCTTGCCTTCTCTGAGCCTCAGAGCCCTCATTTGTAAAACAACTTCATCCTGCTTGCCTCACAGAATTGTTCTAAGGAATATATGAAATTGTGTAGATGAAACAGCTTCCTAACCCTCAAATCCACGCCATAACCAGTAACCTAAGATGATGGTATTACAATTATTCATCTTGGGTAATGGGTCCATGAGGACAGGAATTTGTTGATATAACAAATACACTTTGGATATTTACCATATGCCAGGCACTAAAAAGCACCAGGGAACAAAACAAAGTCCCTGCCTCATGCTCCATAGAGTGCAAACAGGGGAGTGCTCAAGGAACAAACCAGAAGTGCAAAGGCCGGGGGAGGAGCCGGCAAGAGACACCAGTGGCTTTCCATCGGGTGTAGTCCAAGCCTCCAGCACCTCAAAACGCGACATGAATGAAAGCGCCAGGATAGTGCAGGAGGGAAATGGAGTCCTGGCCCAGGTTTCCTGCTTTATGCCAGATGATGGCGCCAGAGAGCAGAGGGACCCGGCCCCAAGGTCCGCAGGCGCTGACCCCACTCCCTCCCTGCATCCCAGGTCCCACCTTCATGCGGCTGTACACAGTGGAGACCGGCGTGACCTGGTGGTGCTGGTGGGAGCCAAGCAGCCCGCAGAGGCCACAGATGAGCTCCTGGTCCTTCTCGCAGAAGAGGCTGAGCGGGTTGCGGTGGTGCACACAGACCTTGGGCTCCGGGTCTCCAGGGAGCCGCAGAGCTTCGATCACCCGTGCCAGGGACACATTGGGCGGGGAGCTGCTGCCATCCACCGCCTGCCGGCACACGGGGCACCTCAGCTTGGCGTCCTGGTGGCAGGACAGGGAGACCAGGCAGTCTTTGCAGTAGGAGTGGCCACACTGCAGCATCAGGGGCTCCTTGAAGACCTCCAGGCAGATGGGACACTGAAGCTGGTCCTCCAGCTCCAGAACTCTCACCTGCCAAGCCATCCACACTGCTCAGGGCTAAAACACAGACAGCCACCATCAATCCTGTCCCTTCCCATCCTTCTGCCTGGCACTGCCAGCCAGCCCCATCCTCATTCCCAAGGACCACCAGAATTTTAGAGGGAAGGATGCCAGTCTTAAATTCCAGTCCTAACCCAGTATAACCATGGGCCTCAGTTTCCCCATCTCTAACACCAAAGGTTTAAATGAAAAACTGGTCCCTTGAAGATACCTAGTTCTATATTTTTTAGTCAGGTTTGGGGACAAACATGACCCCATCTGTGGGGACATTTGAAGTGATGCTAATAATGTAAGCTCTAGCCCTAGCAGGGGTCCAGACCCAGAACTGGACAGTAAAACAAGCAGAGCTTCTTCCCACCTTCTGGGGGCAGTTCTCAACCTTCCCTGAAACTGTTAAAAGCACAGATGTAACAGAGATCCCAGAGCTCTACCTCAACAACTTTGTTTTGGGGGTTCTCCAGTGAAACCCAGAAATCTACATTTATAGTTGATACCCCCCAGGTAATTATAGTGTCTGGTACTCAGAAGGCCTCTATCCTAATCTCCCACCCACTCCCCTATGAAAACCCTCCTTGAGAAAGAAGCCCTGAGGCTGAGGTCAGCAGCAGCCCCAGGACAGCCCTGACAGGGGACTACCTGCTTTCTCACCATCCACAGGGCCTCAAGCCAGCATCATCACTGACTGGATCACACTGCTGTTTTTTCTTCCCAGGAGGTGACAACAGACACAGAGGTCTGAGAAGTGTAGCTAGACGTCTGCTCCACTGCCTGGTCTCTGCCCCTTTTCTCCTCCCCTTTCCCAGCAACACCCCCATGTCCCCAAGGTCACCCAGAATCAGGTGGAAACTGGGTCACATCACGAGACTGGGGAGGCAGCCTTTGCTGGGCCCGCTCTGATAACTGCGACATTCAGGTGCTGGCCTTGGCTTAAATAGGGGGAGGGGTGGAGACAGAGGGCCTGGGCACACCACCCACAGCTCACCTGCCCCCACAGGAGCAGACAGGTGCTGTAGGACAGTGCAATAGTTCCTTTGGAATCTCAATCTCTCTCTCTCTCTCTCTCTTTTTTTTTTGTTTTACAAATTTGAAGACATTTTTACTTGGATGTTTAAATCAAGGTATAACTTATATCAGTATATAACTCTTAACAACACAGTTTGATAAACATTTTATGCATGTGTACTTAGTCTCAAGATCAAGATGTAGAATGATTCCAGTACCCAGAAAAGGCTCCCTTGTGCCTCCTCCCCGTCAGCACCCCTAATAAGGAGAGCCACTATTCTGACTAAGGCCACCCGACTGTCATCATATCATCACATGGCCTGTTTTTGAATTTCATATAAACAGAATCACAGAGACTGAGTCTGGCCTCTTGCATTCAGTATTATGAATTATGAACTTTTAAAATGTAAAGTCTTTCGAGGTTTAAACATTCAATGGCATTCTTTTATATAGTTAATGAATATTATAGTGATAATATACTGCTATGGTAGGAGTGTCTCCAAAATGTCATATGTTGGAAACTTAATCCGCAGTGTGACAGTAATGAAGGGTCATGAGGAGTCTGCCCTCAGGTATGAATTACTCCATTAATGCATTAATGAGCAATGGATTAATGGTTCTCATGGGAGTGGGACTGGTGGCCTTATGAGAAGAGGAAGGGACACCTGAGCTAGCATGCTCAGCGCCCTCACCATGTGATCCCCTGGGCCACCTGGGTACTCTGCACAGAGTCCCTGCAAGAATGCCCTCACCATTTTAGCCCAAGAAAACGGGGAAAGGGGAGAGGGAAGGGAGGGGAGGGGGGAGGATGGGTGGAGGGAGAGTGACCTAGCCTCCCAAACCGTAGGAAATAAACTCCTTTTCCTTATAAATTACCCAATTTCAAGCATTCTGTTAAAAGCAACAGAAAACAAACTAAGATAAATCTACATGTATTACACGGATATAGTGGGGAATTATTAATTGGAAAAGACAGGTGTGGGAGAGGGTGTCAGGAGTGTTCTAGCAGACCACAGTCCGAGCAGGCCTAAGCACCCAGGTCTGCCAGCAAGGCGAGGTCCTACTCCAGTGACTACCAAGGCTAAAGTCTGGCATAGACAGGTAGAAGCCTAATTTTGTTAATTCAACAAATAATTTATTGAGAAACTACTATATATCGAGCACTGAGCTTGGTACTAGGAATAGAGAACAAGACGACGTCACTGTCCTTTTGGAATCTATAATACAGTTTGCAACAGTGTTAAATGCTATGCAGGGTGGTGAGAAAGGAGGAGATGAGGTGACAAGTGTGCGAGGTATCACTTTCTTTTGTTTTTTAAATTTTTTTGTGAGGTACCACTTTAGAAAGGGGCAGGGCAATGTTTTTGAGGAGGGGACTGTTGAACTGACACCTAAAGAATTCAAAGAAGCTAGCTGCTGTGGGAGGCTGAGGTGGGAGGATCACTTGAGATCAGCCTAGGCAACGTGGTAAGACTTGTCTGTACAAAAACTTAAAAACTATCCAGGCATGGCTGGCCTGGTGGCTCACGCCTGTAATCCCAGCACTCTGGGAGGCCAAGGCTGGTAGATTGCCTGAGCTGATAGGTTTGAAACCAACCTGAGCAAGAGGGAGACCTCTGTCTCTCAAAATAGCTGGGTGTTGTGGCAGGCACCTGTAGTCTCAGCTACTCAGGAGGCTGAAGCAAGAGAATCGCTTGAGCCCAAGAGTTTGAGATTGCTGTGAGCTATGATGCCATAGCACTCTACTGAGGTTGACAAAGTAAGACTTTGTTTCAAAAAACAAAAAACAAGCATGGTAGTGTGCACTCGTACTCTCAGCTTCTCAAGAGGCTGAGATGGGAGGATCACTTGAACTCAGGAGTTCAAGGCTAGAGTGAACTATGATCATGCTACTGCACTCCAGCCTAGGCCACAGAGCCTTTAAAATACAAACCAAAACATCAGTCAGCAACTAGAGAGGCCACAGGAGGGCAGTCTGGGAAATGGGTCAGCAAGTACATAGGCCCTGAGGCTGGAAGGAGCTTGGTGTTGTGACTAGCAAGGAGACCTGGGCCTCAGGAGTACCATAAGTGAGAAGGAGCCTCGGGAGCTCAGGCCAGAGAGGAGGGCAGGGAGGACCTGTCAACCAGGGCAAAGGGGATGGATTTAACTTCAAGGGTAGTGGGAGCTATTGGATAGCTTTAAGGCAAGGGAATGTCATTTGATCTATATTTTTAAAAGATCACTCTGGCTGCTGTATAAGATAATGGTTCCTAGTTGCTTGATCACCTGGGTAGATGGATGGTAGCACCCACCACTGATACTTAGAAGATGAAAATAGAAAAGGTAAAGGGTAGGATCCAAAGTTAGATGCCTGAGGACATCTAGGTGCAGCAGCTGAAGAGCTCAGTGGCCTGCAGATTCAGGAAAAGGACAGAATTAGATGGAGGACTTGCTAAAACATACATCATTGGGCCCTACTGCTAAAGTTTCTGTTTCAATAGGGGGAATGGGCCCAAGATTGTGCACTTCTAACAAGTTTCAGGGCAATACCAAGGCTGCTGGTGTGAGGACTACAATTTATGAACCACTGGAAAGGATACAAGAGCCTGGAGCTTGGGGAAGCCCTAGACAGACCTGATATATATCACCTGCTTAGTACATCGCATATTTAAACCTGTGGGAATGGTTGGGATCTCTCAGGAATTGAGATGTTTATAGATAGGGAAGAGGAGGATGGTGGAGAAAAGACAGCCAGTGAGACAGGAGGAACACCAGGAGTGTGTGGTGTCCAGGAAATGGTAGAGTGGAACAGCCCCCAGAGACGTCCATGCCCTAATTACTGGAATCTGTGAATATGTTACTTTACATGGTAACAAAAGGGATTTTGCTCATGTAATTATGGTCATGGCTCTAAATTTTATGAATAGGCCTTATCTAACCACATGAACCCTTAACAGCAGGGAATTTTCTCTGGCTAAATTCAGAGAAAGATGCAACAGGAGGCATCCAAGCAGGAGGAAGATTTGATGCATGATAGGGTGGTGACCCCTTGGAGCTAAGGGTGGTCCCAGGCTGAGAACAGGCAAGGACCTGGGGCAAGGAGATAGAGTTGCAGGGATCTAAGTCCACCAACAACTTGAATGAACTTGGAAGCAGAGTCTTCACAGATTGTCCAGTAAATAACGCAGCCTTGCTGACATCTTGATTTTAGCCCCCTAAGGGCTAAAATGGCCTTGGACTCCTAACCTACACAACCTGACCTAAAAAGTAGGTGTTACCTTTAACAGTTGTGTCTCAAAGTGGAGGTGTCATGGACTGCTCCCACTGATGTTTAGTTTTTGCACTTGATCTTAGCCAAAAGGCTTAGAAGTGATGGTGTTTAGTTTGTTTTGAGAGCCTCACTTTGTCGCCCTAGAGTGCTGTGGCTTCACAGCTCCCACAGCAACCTCACAGCAAGCTCAGACTCTCGGGCTTAAGTGATTCTCTTGCCTCAGCCTCCCGAGTAGCTGGAACTACAGGCGCCTGCCACAATGTCTGACTAGTTTTTGTCACAGTTGTCATTGTTTAGCTGGCCTGGACCAGGTTCGAACCGGTCAGCCTCGGTGTATGTGGCTGGCACCGTAACCACCGTGTGTGCTACGGGTGCTGAGCTGATGATTAGTTTTTGAATGTTCTGTTTTCCCTCAAATAAACAAATATACAAAACAAAATATCAGCCGGGGCAGTCCCTGACTGCCCCCTTTGGGGTGTGACTGCATCTAGCTTTGTAGTAATTTATTATAGCAGTGCTAGAAAACTAATAGTGAAGCCAAGAGAGAAAAAAAGTGTTTAACGGCCACAGAGTTCAAATTTATCAACTGCTAACAATGGTCTGGTAACCTGAAGACAGGTGTGATGGATTTGTCAAGAAGAGCAGTCCCGGGGGAATGGGGTATGTGAGCGAGATTTTGTGGGTGAGTGGGTAATGGTAGTCGCAGGGTGAAGAGGTGGAGACAGTGATGGAAGAG